CTGCCCACCTCAGCCTCCCAAAATGCTGGGATTACAGGCTTGAACCATTGCACCTGGCTACAAGTTTTTATGTTATAGTTAAAAGTTAGAATGTGGGTTAGAAGTTCAACACAGGTTTCTCTGAGCTAAAAGCAAGGTGTCGGCAGGGCTGCATTCCTGTATGGAAGCTCCAGGGGAGAGTCCCTTTCCTTGCAGGTGGGGGATCAGTAGAATTTGCCCCAGATAGGACCCCAACCTTTCCCTGTGGAAACATCCAGGACTGGCAGGGAACCATGGGGAGGTTCTTCACCTTCCTCTGCAGCCACCTGTGTCTCAGTCGGGATGTACCAGCTTCACCTTGGCAAAACTCCCCTTGGCAAAACTCCTCCCCTTGGCAATAGTCTTGAGGAAACTGTAGTTGCCAATGTGAGTCTCCTCCTTGGCAGAGGCGCTAGAAAGGCCCTACAGTCTTTCAGACTTGCTGCTAACAATTAGAATTAGCAATATTAGCTAATAATACTGATAAGCTAAATAAGGCAAAATGTGAAAAAAAAAAAAAGAAAAAGAAAACAATGAGACAAACAAAGAATTAAGAAAAAGAAAAAAAAATTAAAAATGAGGCCAGGCACGGTGGCTCATGCCTGTAATCCCAGTACTTTGCGAGGCAGAAGCAAAAGGATCACTTCAGTCTAGCAATTCAAGACCAGCCTGGGCAACATAGTGAGATCCTGTCTCTACCAAAAGTAAAAAAAAGTAGCCTGGCATGGTGGTGCATGCCTGTAGTCTCAGCTACTTAGGAGGCTGAGGCAGGAGGATCCCTTTGAGCCCAGGAGGTTGAGGCTGTAGTAAGCCATGATGGTGCCACTGCATTCCAGCCTGGGTGACAGAGCGAGATTCTGTCGAGAGAGGAAGAGAGAGAAAGCGAATAAAGAAAAAAAGGAAAAGAATAATGGAAAACAAAAAAAAAACCAAAAAAGAAAAAGAAAAATTTTAAAAACAAGAATAGAGGAGGGTAAAAAGAGAAACCAAGGAAAAATAGATACAAAGCCAAGAAATTGAGAAAGCTAACTTCGGTGAAAATCCCTCAGGTCACCAAAAGCTACCTTCCTGAGCTAGGAAGGCCAAAAATTTAGGCCCAGCCAGGGTCTTATATGGTACAGTACTTGGAATTCTGTAACTGGTTCCTTACAAGGTCATAGCAAGACACAGACCTATCACATCTAGGGATACTTCACAGTGGTTTTCTCACTTTGTTGTCTCAAGAATGCTTTACTCTTAAAAAACAAAAAGAGAAAGATTTCAAAGAGCTTTTTGTTTTTGTGTGTTGTGGTGAAAAATATTTACCTTACTAGAAATTATAACATGTAGGATGCTTCGGTGACTTTGTCATGTCTAGTTTGCAAAGCTGTAAAAAATTTTTGTCTTTTAAAGAGCTCAAAATATCTACACTTAAAGTATTCAGTTCCTTAAACAACAATGACAACAGCTTCTGGGTGGTGTCCGGACACCCACCTGCTGTGCCACCGTACCCATCTCCTTGTGGACTGAAGTCGGTCTGCGTCCCACACAGTCTCCACATCCAGCTTAACATGGAGCAGAAGGCTGAGGAGCCGAGCCAGTGGCAGGAGGCACTCCAGGTCACCCAGGTGAGGGACTCTGCACGTGCAGGTGGGAAGGCTGTGAGCTGTCTTTCTTCCCTTCTGATGAGCTTGAATGAAATACGTGGATACATACCAGATATCGACCAATAGATGTGATCAGTGCAGCTGACAGTTCATGAAATCTGATCATCTCAGGCAACCCTAAAGGTTTCATCAGCAGACAGCAGGACCTGCAGAGCCACAGGCCAATGATGGGGAACTGGATGGTCCTCCTGCTCCTGGTCTTTAGGTCAATCTCCTCTTCTCCTCTACGCAGACCCTGCCTGCCTCTGAGCAGCTCGTCTCTGGTAGGTGTAGGCTCAGATGAAAACAGGAAGATAATGGGGCAATCTTGAAGCCCAAATAAAGCTTTGGGCCTAGTCCAAGATTCCTCAAAACCCCCAAACCTGTCTTGGATGCCCTGACCTCTCTGGGGCCACCTGCTTCTGCTGAAGTTTAGCCACTTTGGGGAAGTGGAGCATCGCAGAGATTGGGAGCTTCTTTACGAAGCTCCTTACCGCGTGCCCCTCTCCCGTCTAAACCCCTTTAGTTGCTCCTTTGCCTGGTACATAAAATCCCAGTTCTTTACCTTGGTCTTCCACAGTTTCCAGAGCCAGACTCTGCTCCAATCCCGAACTTACCACCTAATAGCCATGTGACCTTGGGAAAGGTCTTCGATCACTATACCTTTTTTCCTTTTCTGGAGAATGAAAACCAGTATTGGACGGTATTGGACATGGCGTGTGTCCTGCGTCAGATTCTCCCTCTGGTGCTCACTGGCTGCATGTCCAGAGTTTCTGTCTCTTCTGACCACGTCACAGACTTGGATGGCACACCCTAGCTCAGGGAATGGCACCTGGCATCCCAAATTGCCACTAACGCATACAGAAGTTTGGGGGAGTTAACACATATGGGGTAAAATTTGATTAGTGGGAAATGGGAGGTAGGTAAGAGCCAGGCAGATAAATTTTCCCTTCTTCCCTCCCTTCCAGGGACTGCTGCAAGGCACCATTTCTCCAAAGCAGCACAGCCTGTGGGAGACGGCTGGGGAGGCTGGTGGACACAACTGCGGCCCTCCTCAAGGCTTGTCGTGAAGCAGGCCCAGCGTGGTGACACATCACCTTGCGTCCCCTTCCATTCCTTTCTGCGCTGCTTCCATTTTCTCACTCCCAATACCTTGAGTTTGCACATCCCAAAATAAAACATCAGTATTTAGTTCTTGTTTTTAGGCTCTGTTCTCTTGGTGACTTTGGGAATGAGGGAAAGGAGGACCTTAGATTGGGACAGATAAGAATGAACCCCACTGTAACTTCTCCTCCCCCACCTTCCCCAGGTACTTGGAACACCAAGCACCAGCTATTAAGGGGCTTGTCCTGTCCTGCTGTCCCCTGGGGTTAGGGGATAATGACTATCCTGACAACTCAGCCAGGTAGTTTAGAGCCTCATTTTTAGAATCAACAGGCCATTATAAGGAAAAAGCTATCAAGTGCTGAGCTGGGATGGCAGCCAGGATCTGTCTGCTTCAGGGTGGTCTCTCCCCTAAGAGATGGTGCCTTTTGTGGATGTTTCCTGAACCCAGTTGGGTGTCAAGCACAACCAGGGGATGGCCGCAGAGAGACAATTGGATCTGGTTTCTGTGCTCAAGAGACCGTTTTCATCTGGGAGCTGAGAGATCTACCTAGGTGCAGTGTCCATGGGTCAGAAAGTTTCTCTGCAGGTGACCCTTGAGCCCAGTAAGAGAGTGTAGCATCTAGAAATCCCTCAAATGTTTACAGAAACTGAGTAGGTGAATGCAAAGGGAAGAGGATTCCAGGTAGATTCCAGCACTGGACCTGCCAGCTCCTCCTTAGAGGAGAGTCAGCCTCAGAGTCTCCATGCATTCGGCGAATTATCTTGAGGCCACAATACCAAGAGCACCGAGGCTGCAGGGTCCCACCGTGGGGAGCGCGGATACAGCTAAAGGACATCAGGGAGGAAATACTTCTTGAGGAGGTGCCTGAGTCAGACCTGAAGAACTCATGGGGCTGGCTGCAGCTGCCATTTCTTGGACATCTACCCTTCGTCATGCCTTGTGCTGGACACTAAATATTCAGAGTTGAATGAAGGCACTCTGCCTCTGTTGCAGAGCAGAAAGATTGTGGGCAAAAATTCTGAATGCTGCCAAGGAGAGGAGACAGACCTCTGCAGGCTCATCCTTCTCTAGGCCTCTGGGGAACCCCACAACTTGACTGTACCTGCCCCTGCCCTCCCAACCCTACCCCGACCCCATCCGTGCTTGGTTACCTTGGTCTGTATCACTAGTGGCCCCAACATGCCTGGGGTGAACATCCAGGTGCTCCCCACCCAAGCTGAGTGGGGGAATAGATTTAACTTTTTTTTAATGGGCAGAAGGGGGATCATTTATGACTCACTGGCTCCAGAGATTGAAGTCTTGGGTACCCAAACTCTCTTTCATTCCCACTCCGGCACCAGGTCTCTTGCATGGAACAGGCCATCTTAAATTCCATGTGCCAGGGCTGATCTCTGTTCCTCATCCCACCAGGGCTCACACACAGCCCTGCAGGTAGGGTCACCAGATAAGCTCGCTTGATGTTGACATGCAAGGCAAGAGGTCTTGTCGGTGACCTATCACTTTCACTGAGAAATTGTCATGGAGAGAACCAGAGTGAGTAAGGGTGTATGATGTGCACTACAATGGTGGACAAGGCAGACTCCTGCCTTCCTGGAGGTCACAATCTAGTGGAGGAGGGTGTTACTAGAAATGGACAAAGTGCTGGGAGGACAAATAGCAGGGACTTGCTGTAGTTGGCCCAGGGGGTTAGGAAGCCATTCCTTGGAAAGTATGGTTTGAGGTCAGAGGAGGAAAACTAGGAGTCGGGAAGATAAAGGAGGTGAGGTGGTGTCTGGTGGAGAAATAGATCTGCCCTTTATGCAGACATTACCCTATGCTAAGCAGTGGCTGAGCCTTTCGCAATATCAGCAAGGTAGGACAGTGGGTGAATAAGATATGTGGACTCTCCACTAACACTAGCAGATTTTGAATCCTGCCTCTGCCGTTTGCTGGCTGTGTGGCCTAAGGCGAGTTACATGTCACTGCATTTCTTCTGATAGCAAAGGGGATGGTGAGATAGATTGATAAGTTTTAATGTGTTTGGCTGCTGTGTGGAGACTGGATTAGAGCAGGAGTTTAAGGGAGAGAAAGGAATATGAGTGTTTCATGTGAGAGTCAAGGTGGCTTGGGCCAGCTGTGATACCGAAGGTAGGGAGAAGTGGAAAGGGGTGATAATTTACTGGATTTGGTTGGTGAGAGAGTGGTCAAGGGTGACCCCCAGGTTCCTGGCTTTTGTTATTATAGGTAACACAGAAGAATGGATGAACTCATTAATTTATTTTCTATTTATTGTGATATCTATCATCCTGCAAAAATACTTCATATATATTCAATTTAAAGAAGAATAATAAAAATACTTATTTACTCCTTAGGTCATTTGAGCTAAATATTTTACTAATACAGTTAGAGCCTTCGAGTGCCCCATCCTTCTCCCCAGACTTAACCTCTATCCTGAAATTTGTTCGTCTTGCCTTTGCTATTTAATTTTTTTACTATATATGTATCTATTCCTAAATAATGTAGTGATTAGTTTTATACACTTTTGAACTTTATGCTTATTCTGTTTGGGGATCATCGAAATTTATCAGTCCAAAAGTTCTTAGTGTTAATATAAATTGGAAAAATTAATTAAAAAAAAAAAAAAACAACTCTGAATGATTGGTCTCAAAACGACCCCACAGCCTAATATCAGTGTTTTAGGTGAGAGTCAAGGTGGCATCATGATACTATGGAGAAACGTTTATCCATTCACCTATTGAAGGACAACTTGTTTTGGCAATCATGGATAAAGCTGCAATAAACATCTCTGGTATATTTTTGTATGAATATAAATTTTCAGCTCACTCGGGGAAATATCAAAGTGCATGATTGCTGAATCATATGGTAAGAAAGAGTACGTTTAGTTTTGTACGAACCCACCAAACTGTCTTCCGAAGTGGCTGTGCCATGTTGAATTCTCACCAGCAATGAAGGAGAGGTCCTGTCGCTCCTCATCCTCACCAGCAATGAAGGAGAGGTCCTGTTGTTCCTCATCCACACCAGCACTTGCTGTCATCAGCATTCTGGATTTTGGCCATTCTAATAGGCATGTAGAGGTATCTCATTATTGTTTTGATTTGCGTTTTCCTGATGACATGTGATGTTGAGTATCTTTGCATGTGCTTACTTGCCATCTGTATTAGTCCCTTCTTACATTGCTATAAAGAAATACCTGAGCCGGGCGCGGTGGCTCATGCCTGTAATCCCAGCACTTTGGAAGGCTGAGGCGGGTGGATCACGAGGTCAAGAGGTCGAGACCATCCTGGTCAACATGGTGAAACCCCATCTCTACTAAAAATACAGAAATTAGCTGGGCATGGAGGTGCGTGCCTGTAGTCCCAGCTACTTAGGAGGCTGAGGCAGGAGAATTGCCTGAACCCAGGAGGTGGAGGTTGCGGTGAGCCAAGATCGCACCATTGCACTCCAGCCTGGGTAACAACAGCGAAACTCCATCTCAAAAAAAAAAAAAAAAAACCTGAGGCTGGTAATTTATAAAGGAAAGAGGTTTAATTGGCTCATGGTTTTTTACAGGCTATATAGGAAGCATGATGCTGACATCTGCTTGGCTTCTCTTAATAAAATTTGGAAAAATTTAAAAAACAACAGCTCTGAATGATTGGTGTCAAAATAATACTACAGCCTAACTGGCATCATGATACTGTAAAAAATGTTTATTCACCCATTGAAGGACATCTCGGTTGCCTCCAAGTTTTGCAATTATGGATAAAGCTACAATAAACATCTATGGGTATGTTTTTGTGTGGATGTCATTTGCAACTCGTTTGGGAAAATATCAAGACACACGATTGATGAATCATATGTTAAGAAAGAGTTTGTTCTGGGGAGGCCTCAGGAAACTTAGAATCATGGTGGAAGGCAAAGGGGGCACAGGCACAACCCATGGCTAGAGCAGGAACAAGAGAGAAAAGGGGGGATGCTCCACACTTTTAAACAACCAGAGCTCATGAGAGAACTCGGTCCCTATGGTGAGGAAAGCACCAAGAGGACGCTGCTAAACCATCCACGAGAAATCTGCCCCCATGACCCAGTCACCTCCCACCAGGCCCTACTTCCAACTTTGGGGATTACATTTCAACACGAGATTTGGGCAGAAACACACACCTGAAGTGTATTCTTAGCACCTGTGTGTTTTCTTTGCAGAGATGTCTGTTCAGATCTTTTGCCCATTTTGAAATTGGATGGCTTGTTTTTGTTCTGTTGAAGTTTAAGAGTTCTGCATCTAGTTTGGATAACAGTCCTTGATCAGACATATTTTTTGCAAATAGTTTCTCCCCATCTGTGGTTTGTCTTCTCATTCTCTTAATGTCTTTTGCAGAGCAGAAGATTCTGACTTTGTTGGGATTTTGACTGAGATTGCATTAAATCTACAGATTAATTTGTGTTGACAGTGGATGACTGAGGAGCAGTCCTCCAGGCATCAGTGGAGCACAGGCTGGAAGATAGGCTGGCATCAGAAGGGAGTGGCAAAGGCTGGCAGGCTGGCAGGCTGCTGGGCTAGGAGTGATGGCTGATTCATACTGGAATCTGTACTCTCTCCTCTTGCACCCACCCTGCAGGCCTGAGTCATAAAGAGACTTTGTGGTGACTTCTCCTGTGCACCCTTGGAACAGCTGTGAACCCATCCCTCTGCACAGACACATTGACACAGGAGGCTTATCACCAGGGATACCCAAAGAGCCTTCCTTGGAGGTGCCCTTGTATGACCTACAGAGTGGCATCCCAGGGGAAAGTAGCCAGGGCTCCTCCCCAGGTCAATTAGAGTAACTGCTACTTTCTGCTCTGAAGGCAGAGACCTCATTTAGGCTCTAAACCCACGCAGGACAAAAATAAAATACACGTTCCAAAGACTCATGTTACCCTCCCCAGAGCTGGGGAACTACAGCATGGGTGGTGGCCTAAGGGGCTGTCCCTCAGAGGCGTGACCTTCCATAGTCAGTTTTGCAGCTGTCAAATCTTCCCCAACGTCTGCCCCTCGACTGTGTCCATGCTTCAGAGGGGGTCTGCTTTTCATGGATAATGCTGGGGGCCAAGGTCCAGGGCGCCAGTTCCCTCTGGCCTCCTTCTACCAAGTGAAGCTTCTTCACATGTTCTTCTAAACTCAAATCTCTTGTGGATAAAATTAGATCAGAGAGCTGGTGTTGCCGGGAAGCTGTCTCGAAAGTGGGTGGCTGTGGGCCATTAGCAGTAAAGATAAGTTAAAATAACACTAATAAAAATGATGTTGAATGTGGGAAGCTGAAGCCCTTTTGTTGATTATCCTGAGACCTGATTATGTCTTTCTGTTAGTCTAGTTCTTTTGAGCTGCAAAATTACATCTGTTTTTATACCAAAGTCTTGATTTTTCCACCTAGATAAAGCCAGCTCTTCTCCTGCTGCTTGGGATAAATGATTCCTCATCCTGTGTGCCTCGGCTCCTGCCACTACCTCCAAGAAGCCCTCCCTGATGTCCTCACAGTTAGCTCTGCACATCCTCCTGCTCCTCATCTGTGCCACACCAGCTTCTCTGACACAGCTAGGTCACAATTGTACCCCAGTGGACAGAGAGCCCCTGGGACATATTCATCTTTGCATCCCACAGAATGTGCACCCAGGAAATATGAGTCAGAGGAGTCGGTTGGTGCTTTAAAAACGAAAGTCTAAAATGCAAGTGTTGTTCTCTAAAAACCCCAAATGCCGGCTGGGCGCAGTGGCTCACACCTGTAATCCCAGCACTTTGGGAGGCCGAGGCGGGTGGATCACGACGTCAAGAGATCGAGACCATCCTGGTCAACATGGTGAAACCCCGTCTCTACTAAAAACACAAAAAATTAGCTGGGCACGGTGGTGTGTGCCTGTAATCCCAGCTACTCAGGAGGCTGAGGCAGGAGAATTGCCTGAACCCAGGAGGCGGAGGTTGCGGTGAGCCGAGATCGCGCCATTGCACTCCAGCCTGGGTAATGAGAGCGAAACTCCATCTCAAAAAAAAAAAAAAAACCCAAAATGCCGACAAGGGACGTGACAGGCCAGGCCGGGGAACGTGAGGCTTTGTAAGCAGGAAGGTTTTACTTCTCCTGCCACCAAAAATAACCAAGATGTGATTCTGAGCCTCAGTGACCTCATCTGTGAAATGGGGTCAATGATAGCAATCTTCCCAGGTCATCCGAGATTCAGGGCACTCACCAGCTCCTGGTCCGAGATGTTAGTTCCTTTTCCTTCTCTAGTTAATAAAAACACTGCTATGTTGGCAGGAAAGCCTGGGACTCAGTCCTGGCTCTGTCACTAACAGTTATGTGATTTCAGGAAACTACTTTAAGACCTGGGTGCCTGGTGTATTTCCTGTCAATAAGAGGTACGGATTGACTGGTCTCTAGATTAGATTTTTGATGATGATGATGATGATGATGACGATGATTAAAATTTTTAACTGAAGTGTTTTCTGGCTAAGAGTGTCAGTCTCAGGATTGAAAACAGCCTAGAGAGCAAGGTGTCTGCTTTTCGTGGATGATGTTGGGGGCTGAGGCTTCAGTGTCACTGTCTGGTTGAGAGTGGCCAGAATCGCCCAGCACTTCACAGCCTTCTTCTCTTTCAGTGGAAGAACAAGCAGGAAAGGTTGGTAGAATGCTGGGGTGTTCTAATGACAGATTCAGGGGGAACTGAGCCAGGGAGCCCAGAGCAGGCTGTTGAAAGGATGGTAGGAGAGAAAATTAGGCAGGTATTCTCCAGTGCTCAGGTTATTTTTAGAATCTCCAAATGGTGGTGCTAGAATGGGCCATTTGAGGCCTCTGGCTTAGCCCTCCCTGGCTATGAAGGAGGAAACGGTGGCTCAGAAGGTCTAGGGGACGTGCCAGGTCTCCCTTTCCTGAGCTCTGTGACTCCGCTTCTGTTTCAGTTGGTTGTGACTCCAAGGGAATTTTTCGTGTGTATTTTGGCCCTAACAGTACCAGGATTGTTTTCTTTAAAAAGCTTTCTTCATGGGCGCTGTTCATCTCATGCAGTTTTCATAGAAAACTGTGTTTCTATTTTCCAGCACCGTTAGTCGCCATGAGTACAAACTTTCCTATTAATGCAGCATGATTCACAGCGATGCTCGGTTTAAAAATGGGAAAGCCTCTCCTCTGGCTAACAATTAGAAGGTAAAAACTAAATGGGGATAGGAAACCATCTTTTCTAAAAATGTGAACAAAAAGAAATATTGATTAGTCTTTCATTTACTTAAAAGCTTAGCCCATTGGACCAACTATTATTGAAATTTGATTTCCGCACTTTGTTCTGAATATGTCAGACTTTTCCTCTACATAACCGCCAGCTCTTCCAAAGCAATTCGGGGACTATGTGTATGGGGAAGGAGCTGGAAAAGTAGTGAGAAGAGAAAAGGCAACTGTCCATACGAACCTGGGGATCTCTTTAGCCCCGTTCTTCTTTGGGAAACACTGAAATAAGAAGCCTGCTCCCCACTCCCAGCCCACAGCTAGTGATTCTCTGTTCACATTTGGTTGACTCATACCTGATTCACCCCTCAGGTGCATCAAGTATAAATCTGAGAAGTTCTCCCTGACACCCCCATGCACAGTTAGCTCAGCACATCCTCCCACTCCCTATCTGCCCCATACCAGCTTCTCTGTCACAGTCGGGTCACAATTTGTCCCTGGATCTCCTGCCCCACTAGACAGTGAGCCCCTCCCCAGGAACCATAGGACATATTCATCTTTGCATTCCACAGAATGGACCCTGGACTCCCCATTCGCAGGCATCTGACACAGACATGGCTACCAACAGCACTCTCCAAGAGGAGCCAGCCATGGGCAATGGAAGAGGCTGAGGGGCAGGGGCTTCCCAGGCGCCCCCTAAAGACCACTGTGGAGTCCTCCTGGTACCCACTTGGAATAACTGTGAGACCCAACATCTGTGGAGTGGTAACCATGTGACAGGCACCACCACCCTAAGAGGATAGGGCTATTTTTGTTTTGTTTTTTAGACAGAGTCTCACTCTGTTGCCCAGACTGGAGTGCAGTGGTGCCATCTCAGCTCACTGCAACCTCCACCTCCCAGGTTCAAGTGACTCTCCTGCCTCAGTCTCCCAAGTAGCTGGGATTACAGGCATGCACAAGCATGCTCAGCTATTTTTTGGTGTGTTTTTAGTAGAGACGATGTTTCACTGTGTTGGCCAGGCTGGTCTTGAACTCCTAACCTCAGATGATCCACCAACCTCAATCTCTCAAATTGCTGGAATTATAGGGGTGAGCCACCATGCCTGGCCAGGGCTATTGTTCTTATTCTCACTTAACAGATGAGAAAACTGAGGTGCAGATTGGCTAGGGAAGTTGGCCACGGTCTTAGGGCTATTAAAAGGGTGGTGTCTGCATAAGAACCTGGGCTGTCTGGCTTCAGAGTTCACACTCGCAAACACTACCGAGACTGCAGCAAAATGACACATGCAAACTGCCTGGTGCAATTACAGCTAGTAAAGCCATGGGGAAACCCGAACACCAAGGCGCCGGAGGTGGGCGTGGAGGTGGGTATATCCATGCTGGAAAGCTATCCGGCAGTCTCTTACAAAGTAAACATACATACTGCCATACACCCGGCAATTTCACTTCTAGTTATACACCCAAGAGAAAGACGTGCATAAAACTGCCGAAAGGCACATACGAGGATGACCACATGTTCATAGCACTGTTTGCAAAAGCCAAACCCTGGAAGCCACCCAAAGTCCACCAACAGCAAATGCGGAAGTGAAGCATGGCATAATCATGCAGCAGAATATTGCAGAATATTACACAATAGCAACAATGAACAAACTGCATATGTAGTAACGGATGCATTTCAGTCTGGAGAGAGAAAGAAGCCAGACGCTGAAAAGTGCATCTTGCATGTCCATTTATATAAACTTTAAAACACTCAAAGCCAATCCATGGTGTTGGAGGTCAGAGTGGTGGGTGTCCTTGGGGGTAGTTCCTAGAAGGAGGCACATGAGAGATTTCTGGGAGTGCTGGTAATATCTTGTTTTTTTTTTTTGGGGGGGGGCAGTGGGGACAGGAAGCCAATAGCCTCCAGACTTGGACTTTCCATGTGGTCCCCCATCTAAGCACCAGCCAGGCCAGACCCTGCTTAGCTTTTGGGCTGGGGTGCTCTCAGGCCGCTATGGCGACTGGGGGCTGCCATGTCTTGCTTCTTGATCTAGGTGCTGTATTAGTTATGCTGTTTTCATGAAAATTCATCAAGCTATTCCTTTATGATCTGTATGCTTTTCTTCATGTATGGTTTGGTTGAATAAAAAGTTTACTTTTAAAATAAAATGTCTAGTACGGTGCCTGCCAATATAAAGGATTCAATCATGTGAGTTTGCTGCCTCCTCTCCCCCGTCTTTGCCTGCCAGCGGGTATCTGTATGCACCTTGCTGGTTCCTCTTGTCCAGGCATTAGCTTTCAGACAATGTCATAGGTTCCAGGGTCAGGAGGTTGCTGGGTCACTGTGGGCTGCGCAGAGTCTTAGAGATGAGGGGTGTGGGAGACATCTTGCCTGGACCAGGCCAAGAGAGCATTCATTCCCTCCTGTTCACTGACACCTGGCCTCTGCAGGTGTCAGAGAACAGTCTGGTGTAGGGAAAAGAGTTCTGAACCCAAGAAGCATGGTTTGAATTTAGGCTCTGCTGGACACTTGCACTGGGCAAGTCATTGGGCACTACTGAGTCCCATGCGCTCATCACAAAATTCTTAATGGCCGATACAGGTAGAAGTACAGTGTGTGCTGTAAAGGGTAATGTCAACACGGGGCCTCATGAGTATTCATGAGGAGTGAGAGCACTGAGAAGGAAACCTGGCCCAGCTAGAATGGGCACAGCCATGCAAGGAAGCCAGCATCAGCCACTTTCCCTCATCTCGGAGTTCCACGCTTCCTCCACTCACCCGATCTGCTTATTAAAGGCTCAGACTTAACTTCTGGTGGTGTGCACGCCATGGTTTCCCCAACGTCTCGGCAGACAAGGCAGTGGCCTGCAGATGCTTCAGGGTCTGGATGTACTGCAAGCCTCTTCATGAATGCCGCTGCCTGGAATTCACTTGTATACCCTAGAATTAGGGTATAAAAACAGCACTGCCTGATTGGTCTCATCAGCAGTAATGGCCGCTGGTGTTAGAAGTAGTCAGGGCTTTTACTTAGATGGGATCTCAGAAAAGGTGGCTTGGTCTTTTCCTTCCAGAATCCCATCCACAGCACTCCCAACTGGCTCTTACCCTGCTTGTCACAGATTTTCATTGTCTGTGAAAATCTTCAGTGACAGTGAACTTACCACTGTCCCCTCCACAGAGAGCTCTTAGAGAGAGCTGTTGGCCTCATCAAATGTGTGAGATTCATAAATAGGCAGCTGTGGTATGAAACACAGAGATTTAAGAACAGAGGGTGGAGCTCAGCCCCTGGTGGAAAAAGATATCTGTGACCCACCCAGAAGAGCAGATCCTTCTCAGCCTTCCTGTCACATGGAGCTGGGATGCCCGGAAGGAGCTCTCCTGAGGATGCTTCACCTAGGCGGGGTGAGGCAAGGCCTGAGGAAGGCACCAGCATGGCCCATGAGCTCTGGAAGAAGGCTGAGCTTCAGGTGGGCACCTAAGCAAGCCACACCCGGAAGGGAATACCGCCTGGTGCAGCTGTTCTCAAACCCGACGGTCTCGGGAGCCTGCTGTACCACTGAAAACTACTGAGGACGCTAGAAAACATTCCTGGATTATATCTAGCAATATTATGAGTTAAAACTAAACATATTCTTTAATATTTATTTAGTAATGTATTAAAAATAATGAAAATCAATGCTTTTTATTTTCTAAATAAAAAATTGACTAAGCATCATTTTTTCATTTTTGTTTACTTCCTGAATGTCTGGCTTTCTAGAAGATTGTATTCCATCTGTTACGCTATCACATATCACCCAGCCTTTGGAAAATGCCACTGCAGGCTCATGAGAGAATGAGGAGAAACAGGCTAATCATGTCTCAGTATTACTAGGAAAATAGTTTGGACTTTGTGGATCCCCTGGAAAGGCCTCGGGAATGGCCAGGGCAAACTTTGGGGACCTCTAGACTAGTGATTAAGAAAATGCATTTTAGTGTCAGATCGCCTGGATTCAAATTCCATTATGGACACCTAGTATGTGTTCAACACATGTTAGACGCTGTTATGATCATGGCAGGCTACTCAGTATATTCTCCATAGATTTCCTTTTTCAAGCACAAAATCTGGAATCTCCCAAAGAAGGGTTCAAAACAGTACCTTGGCCGGGAGCTGTGGCTCATGCCTGTAATGCCAGCACTTTTGGAGGACAAGGCGGGTAGATCACAAGGTCAGGAGATAGAGACCATCCTGTCTAATATGGTGAAATCCTGTCTCTACAAAAAATACAAAAAAATTAGCCAGGTGAGGTGGCACATGCCTGTAGTCCCAGCTACTTGGGAGGCTGAGGCAGGAGAATCACTTAAACCCAGGAGGTGGAGGTTGCCCTGAGCTGAGATCGTGCCACTGTACTCCAGCCTGGGTGACAGAGAGAGACTCTGTCTCAAGAAAAAAAAAAGTGCCTCAATTCCAGTTGGTGAATATTATCAAATTCAGTTGGTTAATATTCTATAGGTTAATATTATCGCTGTATAAATGTGCATCATTGTTGTTTCACATTTGCCAACAGGATTAGTGTGGAATGAATACTAGCAACAGCAGACAACTTTGCTAAACATATTCACTTCCTGAGCAGAGGACAAACGCCGCCCATCACTGTGAGACCTTGGGCCAGTTTTTTTAATCTCTCTGAGTCTCATTTTGCCCCTTCTCTAAAATGAGGTTCATAATAATACCTGCCTCATAGGTTTGCCACGAGAATTAACAGAGATAAGGATAAAACATACACTTAGCCCAGCACCTGGCACATCATCAGCACTTGATAAATACTAACCAAAAGTTTTCTATGGTAGTTCTGAAGGCCATCACTGGGGCTCAGACATCTGGACTTAACCCAAGGGTATTTGTTGTTGACACAAAAATGGCTCCCTAGGTGAGCCAATTGATGGGATTTTGGATGAGAGTTTACTGGATTATATTTCTGGAACTTTCTTTAGATGCCTGGGTCCTCAGAGGCAATGCCTACCAATGGTCTGCCTTCACAGACTCCTTTGGGAGTGTGCCTGTGCTTTGGACGCTGGCTGCACCGACAGGCACATCAGGTTCCCACGGACTGAGTCACACACTTGGCAGTTCTGCCAGCTCAATAAACATGCCTTTCTCGTCTGCCAACACGGGCACTGTGATGAGCTCTGGCTACACTTTAAAGTATGGAAGGCTCTGTAGCCTCACCATGCTCAGAGCGCGAAGCCCTTCTAGCAGTGGGCAGCCGTGGCTTCTGGAACCAGGATGATGGAATTAGAAGCAAAGACATTAAAATGTTGTTTTAGCAGCGTTCCAGATCACGGCAACTCCCCGCCCCCCATAATGTACTCTAAATACTTCCTGACATAGCAGTGTCCCAGATCATGGCAACTCCCCACCCCCCATAGTGTCCTCCAAATACTTCCTGACATAGCAGTGTCCCAGATCACGGCAACTCCCCACCCCCCATAATGTCCTCCAAATACTTCCTGACATAGCAGTGTCCCAGATCATGGCAACTCCCCACCCCCCATAATGTCCTCCAAATACTTCCTGACATAGCAGTGTCCCAGATCATGGCAACTCCCCGCCCCCCATAATGTCCTCCAAATACTTCCTGACATAGCAGTGTCCCAGATCATGGCAACTCCCCACCCCCCATAATGTCCTCCAAATACTTCCTGGCATAGCAGTGTCCCAGATCATGGCAACTCCCCACCCCCCATAATGTCCTCCAAATACCTCCTGACAGTATATGTTTGTTTTTCTTTTCTGAGAATGATTAATTGGTAACCCAATACTTCAAATCCACTTTTCAGCTGGTTCCAGAAATTTGTTGTTTTCATGATAGCACTGTGACTCTCCATCATGTGGCTGGCCACTATCTACCCTGTGGTTGAGTCACGGTTGTTCAACAGTGCTACGGGAATGTATTGAACTCCACCTGCTTGCCAAATACTGCACGTGGATATGAGGGCGAAAGGGTGGGTCACATCTGGGCCGGACCCTGAGAGCCGGGTCTTGGGTGATGTGGAGACAAATAGACAAGTGCACAAATCAACAGCTGCAGTCAATGGAGCATGCGCAGGGGCGGGTACGGGACGGGGCACCCAGCAAGGGCACCCGAGGCGGGCTCATTTTATCATCAGGTTTCATTCCTAACGTCACCTCTGCGGAGATGTGCTCCTGGACATCACATTTGCAATGACCCCCCGTTCCTGCCTTCTGTCACAGGGGCACATTTATTTTTCACGGCGTTTATCACTCTTCAAACATGTTGTTGATTTTTTTACGTGTACATCGTGTATCACCCAGTGAGCATTTGCTCGATGACCAGCGGAGTCTCTAAATGAATGAACGAACCACATGTCAGTAGGTGTCAAATGAAATCATTAGTGTGAATCACAAAGACGATTTGGGAGGAAAGGTTAAAAATGGCTAATGCGATACAGGTAATTACTGTCTTCAACACGTCAGAATTTTCTCATGAGAATATTGATCAGGGGTCTTCTATGACTACGGAAGAGAGTGGACCAAAATTAACAAAAACAGAAGTTTTGCGACAAGGCCACACGAATTAGAAACATATATCTGAGTAAAGACTTTAGTTCTTTAGACTTTGGGGAAAAGTGACCACAGTATCTGTTTGGATGGTCAATCCTTTCACCTGCCTGAAGGCAGAAGGCTCAACCAGGGATAGGAGTCTATGAGGCCAGCAGAGAGTAGCCAGCCAGCCTGCCAAGTCCCAGGGATACCTCCAAGACCTGCAATCACATAGAAACACAGGTGTGTAGAACATATTATATGTAAATGCATATAGATATTCATAGACATATGTTAATATATTTACATATATCTACACACAGCCACAAACACACACAAAGTAGAAATATGGGAGGCAGTTTAGCTAGTCCCACTGGAGCCACAAGGGCACCCCTGACAGGTCAGGTATCCCCTCTGTCCCAGTGTTCAGGTTCTCCTGCCATGGTGCATTCCGGAACATTCTTGCCGCTAACAGTGTACTCATTAGCTGGCAAAAATGCCATGTACATTTGGAGCATTATTGCAGAGTTGGGCCACTGGTCCATGTTTCTGGACACTGATTCGCCCAGGAAACATATACAGAGTCTCTATTGTGTGCCAGGCCCAGGCATGCAGAGAACTTAGACTAATGATGGAGATAGGCCAGCAAGTAACTGTCTGTGGTGCAGGACGATATTGCTGAGGTCCGCCCCGGGAGCAAGGGAAGCAAGGGATATCACATACATATCTGCCTGGGGATCTGGGGAGGCTGCTTGAAGCAGGTTCCATTCACTAGAATTTGAAGGCTAAATCAGAGCTTGCTGGATGTAGAGTAGGAGGGGCGGGTACAGGAAGTGACAGTGGCGTGCCAGGCAGAAAGAGCAGCATGTGCAAAAGCAAGGAGAGGAAAACCAGCCCAGGTGACAAAGCATGGAGGTGAGGGGGGCCCAAGACAGGGCTGCAGAAGCAGCCTGGGGCTCTATCAGCAGAAACCTTGTGTTCGAAGCCAGGAAGTTTGAACAGAGTCCCAAGAGTTAAGGGGTATCACTGAGGAACTGGTGCGGACCTGCCTTCTAGAAAGACCTGAAGGCCTTTGGCAGATGTGACAAGGCATTGAATGGGAGGAGACCTCAGGCTTTTAGCGATAGTTCTGGGCAATGGAGATCAAGTAGAGAAGATGGAGATGAGAGAGAGTACAAAGGAAGATGCCTCAGCACTTGCGAGACAGAGAAGATGTGTTGGAGAGGCTGAGAGGGAAGGAGGAGGTGCTGAGGATAAGACCCACTACACACCAGGACCTGTTCTAGGATCTGGGGCTCTGCAGCAAAGGAAACCAATATCCCTGTCCTCACGGGACTGGCATCCAGTGGAAAGAGCCAGACAGAAATAAACAAGCAAGTCAACATGGAGCATAATCAGTGCTGCGTCCTTAGGAGAAAAATGAAGATAGCAATGTTGGCAGAGCGGGTAGGAGGTTTGAAATTTTACACAGGATGGCTCTGAAGACCTACAGGGCATGAGGCAGCCAGCCTTGGGGGTCTTCAGGGGAAGAGAATTCCAGGAGGAGAGAACAGCAATGCAAAGCCTCTGAGGCCTTGTGTGTTCCAGGCCCTTTCAGAGGGGCCCATGTGACCAGAAGGACCTGGGAGAAGAGCTGCAGGGGTGAAGCAGGGGACACTGCAGATCATGAGCGACGTTATAGACCATCGTGAAGAATTCGCTTTTACTCTGAGTGAATGGGAGACATTGAAGGCGGTGAGCAGAGGGGGACATGATCTGACTGTCTTCTGGCTTAGCAATGAGAACAGACTGGAAGGGACAGGGCAGAAGTTGAGAGACCCGGTGTAGCCAAGGCAGTGGACACAGGACAGAGGTCAGATTCTGGATTTATTTTAGAGGTGGAGCCTCCAGGGATTGCTCATAGATTAGATTTGTCTGAGAGAGAGGGGAATCCAATGTTAAGAGTTTAGTCAACTGGCAGATTAGAATCACAACCTTCCCAAGACAGGAAGCTCGGAGGTGGAGATGGTTTCTGGATGGAGATGGGGACATCTATGGGTTTAGCTTGAAAGAGGTGAAGTTTAAGATGGCAGGTGATGTCCAGTTAGCAGTGAATTATAGAGCTCTGGGTTTCATTTGGCCTTCAGATGGAGCTGTGGGACAGGGCACTTAAGAAGGCCAAGTAGGCAGCCCCCGTGTCATAATGGGGCTGTCTTTCTAACTCTTAATGTCATGGTTCCTATTGCAGCCATTTGGCTTCAGATGAAGCTGTGGGATAGGGCCAAGTAGGCAGCCCCTGTGTCATAATGGGGCTGTCTTTCTAACTCTTAATGTCATGGTTCCTATTGCAGCACTCATTATAATCACCAAAGAAGCTTTTAAAGATATCCTGAGGCCCATGCGGTGGCTCACACCTGTAATCCCAGCAGTTTGGGAGGCCAAGGCGGGTGGATCACCTGAGGTTAGGAGTTTAGAACTAGCCTGGCCAACATGGTGAAAACCCGTCTCTACTAAAAAATACAGAAGTTAGCCAGGTGGGCACCTGTAATCCCAGCAATTTGGGAGGCTGAGGCACGAGAATTGCTTGAACCTGGGAGACGGAAATGGCAGTGCACTGTGATTATCCCACTGCACTCCAGCCTGGGTGATAGAGGGAGACTCTGTATCAAAAACAAAAACAAACAAACAGTAAATAAATAAAAGGTATCCTGGATCTCATTTCAAACCTATC